CGAGTAATTTTCTTCCATCCAGTCATTAAATTTTTCTATGCTGGCTCCAGGTGCTCTATAAATACAGCTTATTACAACATTCTTCTTTTTTTCCAAAAGTAATTCAACCGTCACACATTCAAGAAGATTCTCCACCACCCTAGACATATTCTCCACTTTTTTTATAACAAAAAGTTTTATCTATGTACAAGGCCACCCCACCTCCCATCTTTATCTCTCTGTTTGTACATACCAGGTCGTACCCATCAAGGTCAAAATCCATTCCCCTTACATTATTAATCCAACTTTCAGAAATAGAAATTATATTAAAAGAATGTTTTAGATTACTAAGATACCGTTTTATACTCTGAAAGTTTGCGTATAAACTTCTGCTATTAAAGTGAATAAGTGATAATTTGTTTTCAGTCTTGACATTGCTGTTAAACTGCTCATCCGTGTAATACTTGCAGTTATTTTCAAAGTTCTTGAAAAAGTTTTTTTCAGGGTCAAAGCCATCTTCCGGTTCATGATAATGAATTTCAGTGTCTCCATATGTATTCAGTTCCAGATCCAGTCCCTCAGAAACTATTAACTTCTGTAACAAATCACTTGCCTCATTTCGTCCATGGGTCACGCTTGTTGTTGTTGGTTCCAAAGCTCATCTGCCATCGCAGATATCAATATACCTGCATGTTTCACACCGTTGAGGGTCCAGCGGCCCCTTCATACTCTCCTTGCCTTGGCGAGCTGGTCATGGGTCCAGGATTCTGGTTCCGAGGTCGGGTCATTAACCGAAGATGATAGCATGACTGGCAAACTGATATTATCCAAACCTTTACTTCAAAGGATACATGACTAGCATGTCTATTGAACCATTTATGTGACCAGCTAGCTGCAGACTTCATCACTGATTTGCATGATTTGCACTAGCGTGGTGTAGAACAAAATTATCTATGTATTAATACTGCTTGCAAATCAGTGATGGTAAGATGATGTTATGGGGTAGGACTAGATAAGTAACTTCTTCCTACTCCGTTCAAGCATGTACTAGGTATAAGGAAATTGATAATGCATTTGTGGATTTGTGTGAAATTATGTGTGTTGACATATTGACTGTCGTTACATGTTTGAAAGAATAAATCAAATCAAATCAAAATCAAATCATGTTGTCCAAAAGAAGTGGCATTGTTTTCGGTCATGGATTTCAGTTTTCAACTCTTTGACCTGTGCTTTTGTGTTTCCAGGAACCAATCATGTATGATTTCGAGTGTCACTACAGGAAAGAGAGGTGGCAGACAGCACAATACTTTGACTTTGTCAAAGACTTCCTTATAGCTGCACAGAATAACAAAGATTCAGATGACTGTGATCCTCCTCCTTGTCCCTCCCAACCAGACCCAGTAGATGGAGAAGAGATCACAACAGAAAACTGTATGTATTTATTGATATGTGGCTTGCTTGTTGTGTTTGCTATGTTAGTTAGCATGTTGATAGCATTTAACTGGCAGAAAACCAAATCATTTTAATTTTGCAGACATACTGTATGTGCAGTTTGAAGTGTGAGGTGGCATCAGCAAACTACAGAGTGTTTCTTTACCTCTTGGTACACATTTGGATGTGGAATCAGTTATTGTGAAAAATGATGTTCAGTGTATGATTTTTTTTCCTACCATATAGCCACAAGATGTAAAACATATATATCTCTGAGCATAATCAGTCTCTCTCTCATGTCAGGTGGCAACCCCAATACACAAATTTGAAATAGTTTCCACATTATCTGCATGATGCATACTCATGTTCATCCCATCTGGCTTGAGATGCTCCAAGCCAAAGTATATAGTACTTAAAACAAATGAGGAGACTGGCTGAAGGTCTAACAATCAGCCCAGCTTTCCCTGGACAAAGCTGGTGTTCTTAATACTGTTTGGATTTCACACTTTAAGTTTGGATTTGTCTCTTCATGTGACATGAGAAGGGTCAAGGCTCAACAACATTTGGTTTGGCAAACAGTGCATCGACAGAGTGTCCATAAGTGGGCTGGAGCCCAGTGTTGTGGTAGAACAGCTGGATTCTTCACACAAATAATCATCTCATCATTCAGAACCTCAACAGCCCACAAAGACAACATGCTCCTAACCAGAGGTTAGGAAAGTGGATGGCGTTGCTCATATTAAACAGTGGCTTTGGTGGGAGTGAGTGAGTTTAGGTTTCACAGTTCAGATCAGGTTGAAATAAAGCCTATTCCATGGTTCCATCAGGAGAAAGGCAGCCAACCAGACATTTTACATTTGATTTGTAAGGTTCTTTTTTTAAACCTTAGATAATCCTGAACACATTTGTTCAACATTTTCTTCACTGTAATACCAACAGAAGCTCAAAACTGAAATATATAAGAGCCTTGAATAAAGCTTTCAAAATGCTGTTAAAAATCACCCACGACAATCATCTAGTTGTTTGTAACCTTGGGGATAATACTGGGATATCTATCAGTCAGCTCAGGCTTTTTGGCAGTTTTTTCTGAAAAAAAAGATCATCGAATAAAAATTGTTCATATCAAGGTCTGTGAAT